CCAATCCCAGAACATTGACTTTTTCCCTAGTAGAAATTTCGGTAAAATGCCGAAGCTCACCACTGGCATTGTATTGGCACAGTATAATCTACCAGTACTGGTTTCCGGGAATTTTACCAGTACTGAAAGGTAGTACTCATCCATTACAATGCCAGTAATATACTCAGATCAGCATTTAAGGCATGCGCAATTGGACTATTAACTATATCTCACATCTGCGTCTTCACGTCACTAAACTAGAATTCTATCACAATTGCAGTTAATTTATTTTTAAAAATAGTGCGTGTTTGTTTTTTATTAATGTCAAAATGTTTGATTATAATGCAAAACAGGAGTAACTTTTTGATTTTTTCATTAAAGAGGAATGTAAGTATAGAAAATATTTCATATTTTAATAGAGAATACGTAGAAGGCGAGGTTATTTTCTATTTTCATAAAAGGTTATTTCAATAAATAAAATGTAAAAGTTACATAAGAATATATATTTGTTAAAATTTAGTTTACAAGTATGATAATAAAATTTTGCAAAATTATGTTTTCTAAAAAATGTTCGTTTGTAGTTTTTGAAAATTATTATATGTATAACTTAACCTCAAAACATACAGTTTTCAATTTTATTTTATTTAGTCAATAAACTTAATCTTTTTAATACTTGGAAAATCTTATTAAGTATTATTATATATTATTTATGTTAAATTTTAATTTGTTTAATTTTTTAAAACTATTTCAGAAAATTTTAATATAAAATGTTTGGACAAGGCAGGAAAAGATTTTTAAATCGCGACAGAGTTGAGAGACACAGGTGTTTAAAAAAGTTGAAATTGTCTGATGACAATATTTCGCAGGAAGAATCTTCATCTGGTATGTATATGCTGCAAATTAAAATTTATTTATGAAAAAATATAAAATTTATTTAAAAACTAATTTTTTTAAAAATGTGTTAAACAATTAAATTCATTAATTTTTTACAAACTTTCTGAAATTATTTAAGGAAACTTTTAATTAACTTTCATTTGTAATTAAAAAAAGAATATATTCTACGAATTAATGTTTTGTATCAAATAATTTTAGATAAACCAAGTGTCTCTCATAGCCATGATGATAAAAATATTTATAATTTTGCACAAGTTAATAGCTGCCACTACGATTACCAAGATTGTGATGAAATTACATATGAAGATTTCGATGGTGCTGATGATGCAGATGATGATGATTATGTATCTTGCGAAGAAGAGGAGCAGTTTGAAGACGTTGAAGACAATTTAGTTTTGGATTTTGAAGACATTTATGGGGATGAGTCGGAAAGCGAGAATACTGACGAAGAAATAATTGACGATTTTGAATATTCAGATGATGAACTTGACGTAAATGATAAATCTCCCGAAATGGATATAGTTTCCGAAATAAGAATGTGGGCCCAAGGTGGTCATGTACCATTGACTAAAGTTGATGAAATTCTTAAGATTTTAAGAAAAAATGTGCTACCTCAATTACCAGCATCTTCTAAAACGTTGTTAAGAACCTCTTCAGCTAAATATGTTATAACGGAAATGGAAGATAAGGATGGAGGAAAAGGTCAGTTTGCTTACCTTGGAGTTGCTTCAGGTATTAAAAATTGCTTGAATGTGAATGAGCACAAAAGTGATACAATCTCGCTAATTATTAATATTGATGGAATGCAACTTTTTCGGTCTAGTAATAAAGATTTGTGGCCTATTACTGCAAAAATTTATACGCCTAATAATATTTGTGAGCCATTTTGTATTGGACTTTTTTTGGGAAAATGAAAACCAAAAAATATTAAAGAATATCTGAAGAATTTCAAGAAAGAGATGAATCGTTTATTCGAAGAAGGTTTGACAATTGAAAATAGACATTTTAAAGTGAGAATAAAATGTTTTGTTTGCGATACTCCCGCTCGTTCATTTGCAAAAAGTTCCAAAGGACATGGAGGATACTACGCATGCGAACGTTGTAAAATTAAGGGAAAAAGAGTGAAATCGAAAAAATCTAAAAAGAAAGGTTATCGAACCGTTTATCCATCAACTAATGAACCTTTGAGAACCGACAATTCGTTTAGAGAAAAAACTCAACCTGAACACCATAAAGAAGAATCACCACTTCTTTCTTTAAAGCAAACAATAAATATAATTTCGATATCTATTTTAGATTTTATGCATTTGGGATCAGGTGTTATGAAAAGAATATTAGAATGTTTGACATCAGGTTTGAAGACAAAATTGAGTGTGAGAGACAGACAAACATTATCTGAAAGATTAAAAGCATTGAAAAAACAGGTTCCAATTGAATTTCCGAGGAAACCTCGATCTTTAAAGTTTCTTCCGAAATGGAAGGCGACTGAGCTTCTTTTCTGTCTCTTATATAGCGGTCGCATTTTGTGTGATGAAGAATTTGCTATTTCATGGAACAGTTTAGCAAAGCATTATTTGATCTGTTTTTTTAAACTTTTAAAGCATACCTATGGAACTTCAATGCAAGTGATAAACATGCATAATCTGATTCATTTAGCAGATGATGCAAAATTCTTGAATTCCAGTCTTAAAAACATCACCGCTTTTCCATTTGAAAATTTTTTGGGTAAATTAAAAAACTTGTTCGCAGTGGAAGTAGACCCTTGTCTCAAATTTGTCGACGGTTATTTGAAATGACTGTAAACAAAAATCCATCATCGCCACCTGTCATACAAATAATTGAAACCGAATCCGTGACAGAAGATCGAACGAGGATTAAAAAACTCAAATACACAAACTTAACTATTTCCACATCTTATCCAGACAACACTATGATGCTTTCTAACAAAAAGAATTTTAAAATCGCTGACATCGTTAAATTAAAAGAATATCATTCGTTAGACAAGATAGTAATTGTTGGACATGTATGGGAAAAGAAGAAGTCTATTTTTGATTACCCTCGTGATTCGAGTGATTTAAACATGTTGGAAATGCAGAAGGATGCAAGGAATGTGCTGAAAAGTTATTTTTTAACTGATATTAATCGAAAAATGGATGTCATGTGGGTGAACGAAAATTCTGAAAAAAGAATCTATGCAATTCCTTTATTGCATCACTGAACTATGAATAGGGAATTTTTATCGATATCTTTTTTCATCTAAAATCGATAAATTGGTTCTGAATTATATTAGAAAACAATAGCCATCAAATTCATTTTTAAAAAAGTATCAGTTATTTTTCAAACTTTCAATGGACGTATTTTCGCGCGCTACAATTACTTCTATCTTTGTCTGCTAAGTTTTGCCTGCCCAATAGACAAATGTTAAATCGGCCATTTGCCGTACGCAATCATCTGTGTATACACCGTTTCACCATCTATTTCTCTGATAGCATCGCTCTGACAGAAATTGTGAAGGTAAAGTCATCAGTTTAGCAAAGCATTATTTGATCTGTTTTTTTAAACTTTTAAAGCATACCTATGGAACTTCAATGCAAGTGATCAATTTCTTATAGTACTAAATATTTTTCTCATTAAAGTGTTGAAAATGTGATAAGATTCAGAACATGATTTCTAACATCAAAGTTATAGATCGCGACGCGTCAACCACGTGTATTCACACTGCTTGCACAAATAAATTAACACAAATAATTAATTGTCCAGTGTATTTCATATTACAAAATATTTTTTTAAATACATTTATTGCGTTTAAAACATAATTTTTATTACACTATTGGATTACAAGCAAGAAAATTTTGATCGAAAATCAATAGTCACGTGTTGCATCAGATTTTTTATTCAGTGTTTGTGTTTTTGTTATAGAAATTTTTCTGATAAAATGATTGCTATTGTTGCTTCTATTTTATATGACATTAACATATATATTAAAACTTTCAATACTCTCTCTAATTCAGTTGTAGTGAACAAAAAATTCATGACGTAATTTCTAACCTCCAAATTTTAGAAAAGCACTTTCTACATGTTCTTTTACAAGGTTTCGTGTCTAAACTTTAAATAATTCATCATCAAATTGTACCACATAGCAAAAATTATTTTTTATTGCATACACACATACATAGATACTTTGTTATATTTGAAGGTTACTAATGGAACACGTGAAAATGAATATCAAAAGTTTGCACAAAAATACAACCCATGTTGTTGTGCAGTTCATTAAACTAAGCAGTAAAGGGCAAAGAGTCGTTTAACTAGTGCCCAGATATTGGGTCATTTATAAAAGAAGCAAGAAGCAGTGGTTTTGTAAATATCCACCCATCGTAGAATATACATTTATTGATGAGTGGGTTGAAACTGGAAAACATCCTGATCCAAAGTGGGGAGAATGGGCTGTAATTTTATTAAGAGAAGCAAGTAAGAATAATATTAATTATTAAAATTATAAATCCGATAAAACTTAAATTAATGTTATTGAATATTTAACTATTATTTTACTTTTTTAAGGTTCTTTTCAACAAGGAATAAGGCGCCAGGATAGAGCCTTCGAAAGCGCAATTGTTGATACAAGTACCTTTCAGGAAAGTTGCTTAAGTGATGAACCTCGAGAACATTCCGATTCAAGTTGCGATGAATCAGCTGATGCCATTTTAGCCGAAGCGAAAAATGTCGTTGCCAATTTGCAAAGTAAAGCGAATGAGACCCAAGGTATTTTTATTCTTTGTTTAAAAGGAACCTTTTATACATTTTATACATAATACGTAAAAAATTTATTGCTTTCTTTTTTCGAAACTTTTATGTCTGCTTATTTAAAATTTTACAGAATACTGATACTTCATTAATAATATCTTTTTTTTAACATTTACAGGGAATGCCTTGCCGGTAGCTTCTTTGCCAATCCATTCAGTGAAAGATAATTTTACTGATACAGAATCTGAAAAATCTTTGGACAATTCTTTTGACGAAGAACACGAACCGATCAACAACGATTATAATCAGTCCAGAAAATCATTTAAAAAATCAGCTCAAACTAAATCAAAATTTAAAAGTCCTTACGCTTCTACTTCCGTCAGAAGAGTTAATGGTGCGAAAAATATCGCCAATTCGCAAAGTAAAGTGAATGAGACCCAAGGTATTTTTTTTCGTCAATCCATTCAGTGATAGAAAACTTTCCAGATGTAGAATCTGAAGAAGAACTCGAACTGAACAACAACGAGTACAAGCAGTCCGAAAAAGCATAATTTACAAAACCAGCTCAAACAAGAGCAAGAAAATTTAAAAGTCCATATGCTTCTGCTTCCGAAAGAAGAGTCACTGAAAATTCTAATCATCGGAATAGTAAAAAATGTGCATACTGCAAAAAAGATACTGGTAAGTTAGTTTTAAATTAATTATTTAAAATTTTTTTTAAATCTACACAACATTTAATTATTTTAATTATGACACTATTTCTTATTTCAGATTTGACTGAAGTGTTCACAAAATCGATGGAACTTTTAGAAAGACGACTTTTACATCATATTAACAGAAGATTAGATACGTTGTCAGATGCGGTAGTAATAAATCAAGCTGCAACTACAATCTCTGAAATTACGGAGAAACCAATTTTGAAAACTTTGCCAAAAGAAACGGTACAAGATTTTAAAGATTTTGACCAAACTCTTAGTAATAATGAAGAATCTCTACTTCATGTGGTAAGTTTTGATTTTTAATTTAATTTTATGATTTTCTTTATTTTTATTTATTTAATGACAAAATTTCTTTGAAAAATAGGTTCACTTCATGCATCTTTATGCAGCACGCGCGAAATCAGCCAACGTTGCAATCGGTATTATATTACCGAGAATCATTAAAAAGGAAGTTCAATTAAAGTACAGTAAGGCAGGAATACCATTTCACGGAATATCGAAGGAAAATTTTTCCGCCACGACAACATTTAAATCTTTAGAAAGTACGTAAAAACAACTTTAAGAAGTAAATTAAAATAAAATAAATCTAAACCTCCCGATCCGTCATAGATAAATTCTTTCCATAAGAAATTACTTGGGATAAATCTATCTGGCACTCATCGGAAAGTGGATCATTACAGACTAAATAAATTTTTAAAAATATTTTTAAATAATGTAACTTTTTTTCTAGGAGTTCTTTTGGATGTATTCAAGAACGAAACACAAAAGACGATTGGAACAGCGGTTAGTAGATGGCTGTCAAATGCTGTTGATCGCGAGGGAGGAAAAAAGAAACGGATGCAAGAAAATGCCCGTCAAGCAGAGTAAATAAAAATCATTTAATTAGTACTTTTAATATTTTATTATTGTATAAACAATATATACAAATATATATGTATATATAAATATATTTATACATATAATATTTGTATATATGTCAATATTGTAGCAATAATAATAATTATTTAATATATTAATTAATTATTCATGTTATTTATATTTTATTGTCATTTAACGTACGAAAATGATAATCATAATATAAAAAATATTTTATTTACCCATTTGTTAATTAATTATATTATTATAATTTTTTGTTTCCGTTAACTGTTTAAATTTAATGAGGTAGAAATTCTTTATTATAAAATAAAATATTTACTTTCCCGTGTGGAAAAAGCCACGATCTTGCCCTCAAGAGTTCGGGGCCCCCGGCGGGGGCCCATGAGGGCTAATCCATATGGCGAATCCATGAGGGGCAACGTAGGGGCCCCGCATGGATCGCCCTCATGATCGATTAGCAAAATTTTCTAAGTCCAAAAATCAAATATTTTTTTATCACCAAAAAATTAATGTTTATAATGATTCAGAACAACGAAAAACGCGTTTTTAATAAAAATATATTTACACTTTTTTTGAAAATTCATCTGAGATGATTCATGATAATAATCATAAAGCATATAATGATGATGAATTAATTGAAAAATGAAAATATCCGTTAATAGTATGCATAAATTACATATTTTTTTAATTTTTTAATTAATTAATTTATTATTACTTTTAATTATATCCGACAGTTAATTAATTAGAACGTTAATTAATAAATTCAATTTGAGTAAGAATTTAATTTAAAATTGAATAATTATTAAATAAATATGTTATTTATTCATAATTTAAGCTTATTTATTATTAATTAACTTTTATTATTAATATTATTGATTAAAAAACATTATGGCAAACTTGAGGGCAAACGTGAGGGCCCATAAGGGCGCCCTCATCGATGAGCATGTCGTTTCCATGAGGGGCCCCTATGGATCATCCATATGCGCCCCTCATGGCATGAGGGCGATTCATAAGGGCCCACATCACTTTTCCACACGGGTAATTAAAATAAAAATTTTATTTAATTTTATCAAAATAAAAATTCCCCTTTTTTAAATACGGTGATTTGGATAGGCGGTATTAATCCAGTACCAGAACATTACTGGTTGATGGTTCTACACCAGTACAGATAAAATTCATTAAACCAGTACCGACAAGCAAAAAGCCAGTACAGACCCACTACTGGTACCGTACTGGCAGCCAGTACTGGTACTACGGCAAATAGTACTGGACCAGTAATTGCGCGATCGTATATTTCTACTAGGGTTGGGCTGGGGCGATTGAAAAAGAATCTCTCATAAGTCATATGTAAATCCATGTGAAATCTTGGGTTGAAATTTAAGAATCTATATGACATCTTATATGATTTTCTATGCTTAAATCTATTTGTTTTATCATGTGTAAGAATGCACATGAAATTGTGTTCTATTTCCCATGCGGATTCCCATGTGGTTTCCTATGTGATTTCCCATGAGGGGATTTTCAATAGGGCGAAAGAGGATTTGATATGGGAAAATTTTTCAAAAAAATGATAAAGGATTTCACATGGGAAATGACATGGGGTTTGACATGGGAAAAATTTTAAAAAAGTGATAAAGGATTTCACATGGGAAATGACATGGTGAAATTTTTCAAAAAAATGATAAAGGTTTTCATTTAGTATTTAACATGGGATTTGACGTAGGAAATGAGGAACCTCGTTTTGATATTTTCCTATGTCAATTACTGTCTCAATTTTCCATGGGGATTTATATGGGAAACCATATGGTTTCCTATATAGGAGTGGGGTTTTACATAGTTTTTGACATAGGATCCCATGTGGTTTCGCATGTGGGGATTTTCAATAGGGTTAACAAAGATTACTGGCTGATAGATTCAGGTGCTTCGGATCATATGACGTACCAGCGGGAATGGTTTTACACATTTGAAGAGTTAAAATCTCCCTTAATTATCAAGATTGGAAACGGGGACGAGATTTGCGCTTATGGTAAAGGTAATGTAAATGTATAGAAACACATGTTAATGATAAGTGGATTCCAGGTACTATTTATGATGTCTTATATGTTCCGTTGTTAAATCAAAATTTATTTTCAGTCAAAGTTACTGCTAAAAAGGGTATAAATTTTTCAATAACTAAATAGAGAAAACAATATTTATTTATGCGAGATAATAATATTATAGCAACAGGTTAAAATAGCAGTGATTTTAGCATAAAAAATACAAAAAGTAGATTTTCTTAAACATGCGTCTAACGATTTTTTTCTTTTTGGTCTTAAATTATGCAGAAGACATAGTAGAATAGAAACCCACAAAAAAATTTGAAGTGCTTCGACTTTTGGGTTCAACTTGGTTTGGACACACCGTGTTTAATTAATAATAAAAACATAAGTTATGCAAATAAAGCAGGCCTAACTTAACACATCACAAATAACTTCATACCTTTGTTTTTAATTGCGGGCCACGAAATTTGGAACCGGATATCGAATCGTTATAAAATATCGATTTCAATAAATTTTAAATAAACTTTCTATGAAATTAAGAATATTAGATATTTATTTATAATTAAACAATTAATTTTGCATAAACAATGGGTAAATTTAACAATAAAATTATTTTTAATGTCATATTTTAAACACACATATTTCATGAGTACTTATACCAATCTTTATTAAAATCAATTCATTGCATTTTAAGATAAGAATTATTTAATGAAACGATGTAAAATATTTTGATTGTTTATAACTCAAATAATTTTAATTTTTTTTTTAAATCCTTTGAACCATTTAATAAACTCATAATAATGTCTTTATTTTATATATTTTTAAATTAATACAATAGAATCGAAAATTTGCTGTTACACTTCAGTAATTTTTATTTGGATGTACATATATTTATATGTCTTTGAAAAATTAGCAGTTAAGATTTAGGTCAAAGTATTATTTTCATTCTAAAAGTTTGTAGAAACATAAAGAATGTTCAAAAGATTGTCGCAAAGAAAGTTCATAATATCCTCCTTCTTGCAGTGTGCCAGAGATCCATTGGAGTAAATTTAAGTACACAACAATAAAAACTTTCTTTATTTTTTTTGAAAATGAGAGAAATATGTAGAAAAACACGTTTCTTTCATTTGTTTATATAAATATAATTTTTTATGCAAATTGAAAATCAAAAATCAAGCTCGAGACTTCATACTTGATACTAGGCTTTAGACTGTTTTGAACCCTACTTTTTCATTTCAAGCCACTTTGGCGGGCGGTGCACGGCGCAAAAAAATTCAAAATGTCCGGTTATAATTGGAAACAAATATTTATTTCAAGAATATGAAGACAAGAGTCCAAGGTATTTTGCAAATAAATTTCATTATAATCCTTGCTATAGAAAGTATAAAAAATACAAATTGTTTATAAAATTCTTATTAAAAATGAAGAATTTTTGAAATTTTTTTTTCACAATTAAAAGTTTATTTAAAAGAGAAGATATTCAATTATTAACTACCAAAAAAATTGCCATTAATTTCTAGCAAATGAAATTTGATTTATTAATTTAAAAAAAAAAAAATGATGCAAAAATTTTTTATTATAAAAAAAGATATAAAAATTTGAAATTTTGAAAAACGATATAAAGTGTTTTTTTGGTTCGTTGTGAGCGACAGGTTTTCACAATTGTTTTTATTTTTCCAAAAATCTAGAAAATTTTGATTCACGGTTGACGTGGTTTTTGACTCATAGTATTTCGAAAACAAAAAATGCCAGATTTTCATATTTTTTGTGTTAAAAGTATTCAATTTAGACTTTATAGAAAAAATGTAAATCGAATAAAAAGGGTCGAATTCAGAAAAATAGTCAAAAAAAATTTTGATTTTCAAAAAAATGGTCAAATTTTGGATTTTTTGAATTTTTTTTTGCACTATTTAAAAGCGAAAAAAACTATTTTTATCATTACAATTTTATATTAATTAATTATTAATGTTAATATAAATGAAAATATTTTATTAACAAATAAAGTTATCGCATTTCTGACCTTGCAAAATGCAAGTCGATGTAATTCCGCATCCAACGAGCCCTATATGAAGTATTTTCGTTTAATAGATTGTTTATAAACAATTGTAATGATAATCAATTGTTCATAAAAAATCAGCTTAAAAAAATACTTTATCCCAGTGAGCAAAAAACCGTGTTCGTTCAAATAATTTTTCAGAACATTATTTGGCGGACATGAAGCGTTTTTAGAACGAACATGGTTTTTTTCCCACTAGGATATTAGGTTCGTTGGATACGGAATTACGTCAGCTTTTGATTAATAGCTTCAGAATTGCGATAACTTTATTTATTTGTCAAATATTTAATTTTTTATTAACATTATATAATTAATTAATTAATAATCTTGAATAAAAAATTGATAACATATGAGATTATAAGTCACATATAAAATTGTTGACCAATGTTACTGGCTGGTAGAAGGGTAATATTACTGATACGGCAGTTTGTTATCACTTTGAGTGAGTATAATATCAAGTCACCTGGTGACTGCTCTATACATCACTTGTTAAAGCTTTTCCCTATCTTGTTACAGATTTGTTACTTGTTCGCTAGTAACTGTGTTGCCTGGGAGAACCCTCATTCAAAAGTAAATTTGGTAATCATTAGAAACCTACATTGCAAGAAAATCCTCGGAATACAGACCTCCAGAAAAAATGTTTAATTGGCATTTAAAAAATTAAAATATTATTATTTATAACATTCGTTGGAAGAAAAGATACTAAGTTTTATGAAAAAAATTTGAATCCTTCAAAAATTATTTATTTATATATATTTTGAATATAAACACAATTTTCTTCATATCGCTTTTTAAAAATGTTGTAAAAATGATTTCTTTTATTTTAAAATTCGATTGCAAACATGGTTTTTCTTACCAATTTTATATAAATAATCAAAATTTTTGTTTATTAAAATTCAACATTTTTTTATGAAAAAACTGTCCTTAAAAGTTTTGATTCAAAATAATATTAAAGAAACACTTTTTATAAATGATATAAAATTTTTTATACTTTTCAAATGATACTTTAGATTTTTTAATACACTAAATATTAAAAATTTAATATCCTAAACACAAAATGCGTACCAACCTTCACTACCTTACCTTACAATTTCATTTAAAAATACGGTCTTGTTTCTTATAAAATGACCCATGTGCAAAGAAAATAATATTTTTAAGTAACTGACTTACCATTAGTAAGCATTTTTAAAATTGTTAAAATGGTGATTGCATGAACCATGTTGAGCATAAAAAACTTATATTTCATCTTGTCATTTGTATTCACAGTATGTTAACAAGTGATTTCAACACTTTGGAAATTTCAGACTAAGCAAGTCAAATACTTCTTCCTTTTATACAAATATTTCATTTATAAAAGCTTTAAAATTTTGAAGCATTATTCTATAAGATGTTATTCACTTTATTCACAAGTTTTTTTCAGTGAAGTAATTTAGATTACTAATACGAGTAGAAAAATATTATCTACCAAAACATTAGTTGTTTAGTATAATTTCTTTTTGCATTTTATAAAATGTTTTTAAATTTTGAACTAACAAACACTTCTACTATTTTTTTGTTCGTATTAAATAAACTTTAAGAATAAAATGTATTTTAAAAAATACAGATTATTTGCAATATTAGTAGAAACTTCAAATTGTTTCAACCATAATGTGAGACTTCATCAGTGCTTTATTTATTACCATAAAAATAATCTTGTTTTGTGTATGGATTTTTTTAAAAACAACTGAATAAAATATTAAATACTTTAATCTTCTAGAAAGATTAACAGTAAAGTAATTTTAATGAATTATCTGTAAAATATAACTTAATTATTTAATATAAAAAACTGTATCATTGATATAATCTTAAATACAAATATAATGAAATATAAAATGCTTAAATTGAAATGAAATGTTTAAAATAGAAATTTGAGATTAATGTATAAATATGGAATACGTTTTAATTGAAATTATTTAATAACAATATTTATCATAATATGGAGTATAATTATTAAAGTTTGTGAAAAGAGTATATTGTAAGGTAACAAAAGAAAACTAATGAAACTGTGCAAGTATCACTATTACTCAATTATGTGTAAGTTAATTAAAGGTAAATTGTTCACCTCATTAGAACGAGATACAATTAATCCAAATTATCATAATGTTGGTTGTTATTCTGAACAACATAGAAGAAATTGGTTCACTAACACAGACCACAAATATTGTGTTTAGTACAAAAGTGTTGAACACACTGATTTTCTTATGGAATGTTTTTACAAGGCAAGAGATATATTTCCAGTTTAAGATCATTATATTTGTAATAGAGGTTTAATCCCAGATATAATTTATTTTATATATCAAATGATTTAATTAAAATTTTCAATTTATAATTCATTCAAATAAATTAGGATAAAATTATTTTAAACTTTAAGATATAATTGTGTATCACTGTTACAATAATATTTTTAAAAACTTCCGTAAAATTTAAATATTTCATATTTTATTCAAATGTTGTGAAAAAACTTTAGATACGCAAAATGAAAATTTTTTAGAGTAATAAATAAAATACAACTGAAGGCCTACATGGAAATCGAAGTCTGCTAAACTTGAAAACAATCTTGATTGATTTTTCAATTTTTTTGGCTTCAAAAGTCTATATAATGTTAATATAATGTTGTTGACCAAGAGATAAATATTAATGAAATAGAACTTTAAAAAATCACATAAAAAGAGTAAGTACACTAACGTCCACTATGCGTATCACTGTTCAACAGAATAATGTAAATTATACCTGAAATTAAAAACAGTTGGGACTGGGTGGTACGGTACGATGCAATGTTGTATTAAATTATGGTGTAGTGTGTGTAGGCTTTGTATATTCCGTCAACACAGCCCTTTGACTTTAGTAACACGATATATTGCGTTAAAATTCACGCTTCAGTAATCTTAATTCATTGGCCGTTTTGGATGGGTAAATATTTCTACATGTGCTACATACTATTTCTATGTCGATGGAGAATTTTGGAGTTATGCTTTATACTTATTCAGTTTATCCGATATCTACTTCAACCAGAAACCTATTATATTGGATTAAAAACAAATATTACAATTAAGTTATTTAAATAACTTTACAGGGATTTATAATTTTGTAATATGCAATGATTCTATAAAAATGTGATATTATTATATGAAAATGTTATTTGTACTTGTTAAAAATTCTATTGGCGATTCAAACAGCCACACTAGCGATACTTTTGAACTAATATTGGCGTGACTCGCACCGCTGAACTCCATGTATTTTGACCGTTCATTTCAAGTTTATTAAATTAATTTATATATTTAATTTAAATATTCATATTCTATATTGAATAGAAAAAAAATAATCTGTCTTATTACATAGAGTGCTACACAATAAATCACGCCAATATTAGTACAAAAATAGTTCCAGTGTAGCTGTTTGAATCGCCAATAGATGTAATCATACTTACAATTAGATCTTTATTGACATACACTTTTCATTTGAAATACTTGACGACTTTTGACTGAATTTCAGTCTAATTATTTTTCAAAAGAATATTTCAACAACTCTTTTTTTTCCTTTGAAAAATAGATAATGTATCAATTTTTCAAAGGATTATTTTAACTAATCGCTTAAACTCTACATGCCCACGCCTGGAAAATCAGGAAAGTTCCGGCACGTTATGCCCCGCCCACCGACCCACTGAACTCGCGCGGCCAATCACCACGCGTAATTTTTTAAATTTTCAATTGCAATTTTCGCAAAAACTATAAAAAACTGTAGAGGGCTTTTTGTCTTATTTTTTCCGTATAATATGTACCTTTAATATGTACTCTTATGACTGGGACACCCTATATATTCAGTTCTGTGCTAAGGCACGGAAGAAAATAGTTGTATATTCAATTCCGTGCCGAGGCACGAAATTAAAATATGGAGGCATTTATTTTCATGCTATAAGCTCAGAATAAAATTAATTATTTAGGAATTAGGTTCCGTTCCAAATACGTAAACAACAATAAATGGGGACAGATTGCCGGGCCTGTTTACATTAAGTGTCCTTGCACACAAGTATATCATTTCACAAATTTAAGAAAATATTACATATTATTTATTATATATTACATATCATATATTATATTCAAAGATTTCATAGGAATTGGAGGGTGTACTTCCGAAGTAGGGGTACCTCCGATCTTAATGAAACTTGGTATACTAACGTATTTTGGCGCGCTGATTACGAAAATGATAGTGAAAATTGGCGCAAATTTGATTAAGATGGTAAAAACCATAAAATACACCATAAAATCATGGTTTTTTGAGATTATCTCGTAAAAAACGCAAAATTTCAAAAAAAGTTTTAGACAAAAGTTGTAGATCTCAAAAAAACACACATTTTATGTTTTATGCATTTTTTACCAAAAGTCATTATTTTTCGAGAAAAATCCAAAAAACGAAAAACACCATGATAATGAAAACATATACCGCAGTCACGGTTAGACATATTATTTGACTCGTATATAGTATCATATCCACCATTAGGGGAGACCGAGGAGGAAAGTAACAAAAATCAGTTTTTTATGCTAGCATTAAAAATATTTGTCGGATAAATTTGTCCAATATATTAAATGAAAGCTTGGACATTCACCTTTTAAATAAAATTTGAATTAAACATTTATAATAAATTGACAGTTCACAGTATAACTTTTACGCAAGCTCGGGGGTGAGGAGGAAAGTAACAAGCTCCTAGGAGGAAAGTAATAGTATAAAATTATGTAAAATTCTTTAGACTAATGACTATTATTAATTAGAAATATTTTTATTAGGAACACATAAAAGTTTAAGTACACTTTATACTTATTTGGCACATATTTCGAACATTTTATGAATTTAGCTCATTTTTTTTCTTAAAGATATTTTATGCTTACCTAGATCACAGGTTTTTCTTAAATAAATCTCTGTTATTCGTAAAATTAAATACGATTTGCTTCAATCATTAGTTAAAACATGGACAATATCGACAACAGGAGAAAAGTAGCGTGTTACTTTCCTCCTCGGTCGCTTTTTTCTTGTATGTCAACAAAAAAGTTAAAACTACACAAATGTTAAATTGTTTGTTTAAGCACAACTTAAAGACAGATAATAAGGCTACAAAATAACGAAAGGCACATTTTGAAAAACAATAAAATTAAAGAAATACGAGACTTTGAAAATTTGAACGAAAACTTACTTTTGACGTTTTTTCTGCACGTCACACCGGAATCAGACCTAACCTTTCCTGTCAGGCTCGGACACACTATGGAGGAGGAAGGGGGAACAGTGCCGACTAAAAATATGTTTGAACCATGTCTATCCGATAATTTGTTTAAAAGTTATAAGCTTTGTTACTTTCCTCCTCTGTTACTTTCCTCCTCGGTCTCCCCTACTCAGGATCCAACGAATTCCGCAAAATACTTTCGGCCATATCCACTCCCTCTCGCCAAGGTTTTTTTAAAAAGAAAAGCGAGCAGTACCTTACGCGTACGAAGGACGTGTTTACTATTTTGCGTTTACCGCTGCTGTAGACTCCACCCCACAATTTCTGCACATTACTTTCGGACACATCCACCCCCTCTCGCCAAGATTTCTTAAAAACAGAAGAGAGCAGTACCTTACGCGGCCGAAGGCCGTGTTTACTATTTTGCATTTACCGCTGCTGTAGACTTCACCCCACAATTTCCCCAAATTACTTTCGGACCATTTTTCTCGAAAAATAATGACTTTTGGTAAAAAATGCATAAAACATAAAATGTGTGTTTTTTTGAGATCTACAACTTTTGTCTAAAAGTTTTTTCGAAATTTTTTGTTTTTTACGAGATAATCGTAAAAAACCATGATTTTATGGTGTTTTTTATGATTTTTACCATGATAATCAAATTTGCGCCAATTTTCACTATCATTTTCGTAATCAGCGCACCAAAATACGTTATTATACCAAGTTTTCTTAAAATCGGAGGTACCCCTAATTCGGAAGTATATCCGAATTGGAAATTATATATATATATAGTAAATAAAAAAAAAGTTTGTCGCATACAATAAAAATTGTTTATCAACACGTTGACAGTCTAGTAGATGTTAAATGAGATTTCTGAGAAATTTAATTAAAATAAAATAGATATAAACTAAATATACAGGGTGTATCATAACCGGGTACTATCAATAAAATATATAAATCATAAAATATTCTTTAACTTTTTACTCAATTATTATTCCCTAACAGCATCCAGTTATTCATATTATCCTATGGACGTCCTAGGAATATCCAGTAATCAGGATATCTATAGGATATCTTAGAGATATCCTGAGGACATTCTAGAGATATCCAAATTTATCCCTGGATATCCCCAGGACGTCCACAGAATATCTTGAATATCCGGATGCTGTTAGGGTTATATATCACTTACATTATAGAAAATAATTAACTCCTTTGAAGTCTAGTAAAAAAACGTTTAT